GGTAGGCCACAGCTGAGCTCAAGGTCGAGGGCAAGCTGGCCGGCCATCTTTCGCTCCAGGTACTGAGGGTTTAGCGGGTTTAGAGGGTTGAGTGTTGAGGACAGTGTGAGTTTTGGGGTTTAGGTCGGCGCAAGTGTAGGGCCGGGGAGTGCTGGAGGTTCGCGACAATGACAGCAACGACAACGACAACTACAGCACATAAGCGCGATGATAAGAATCATGCACGCAACGGAAACCAGAAGAACAACCAGCACAATCACCGCAATAACAGAATATTGAGAATGACATTGTATTCGCTAGTACCTTGTAGTCCTGCATGGGTTGGTGGTCCGGGCGTCCATAAGGGATCCTTTGCAGACCCCTGTGGGCGGCTCAGATGTTTTGATGGAGAACGTTGCGGGTGTCGTCCACAATACCTGGCTTTCTTAAAACAACCTACAACCTAAGCAACAAAACCTGGCAACCACAAAACAGCAAAAAACAAAACACAGCTTGCCCGGGAAGGTTGAATCCGACTACGAATTCGAGTGCTCGCTGGTGTTTCCGAGAGGCAGGGCTCCAGAAGGGTCCAAGGAGCCTGTTGTTTCATGTGTGACAAATGTAGATCTGGGGAAAGAGGGAATGCTACAAACAACATTTTGGTATTTTGGGCTTTAAGGGTTGTCCTTGATGAGTATATTGTTGGGTATTCATTGTCCTTACGATTCAGCTGAGCTGCGCAAGCATCTTTCTCGCAACAAGCCCTCCTGAATGGCAAGAAAAGGAAACCAAGCTTCAAATCCCAAACTTTGATGTTTTCTGCCGATTGTTTAAGCGCAAGAGTTGACGGTTTTCCCAGTAGTTGCGTGCCCTGCAGTGCGTCCCAGAGGTCAGCTAGGTGCCAGTAGCCCTCGTCAAGCCTACCTGCCTCCACTTCTTGAAACCCAAATCCAAGTGGTTCTGTGCGCAGGCGGCACTCCCCGTGGGAGGTGCTCGCGACCCAGCAAACAGCTCCACAAGGACGCGCCCCGGAAGTTGGAGGGCTGGGACCGTCATGGACAAACACTCCTGCAATGAGCTCAGTGACGTTTGCAGTCCGAGTTCCTCCCAGGGAGGGCCCAAAAAGGGGACTCTTCAACAAGCTCCTCAACCCAAGTTCAAGCTTCTACGAGAGCTCACTGAACGGTCACGAGTATTTTTCAGAGGACTGGGACTGCTGCTGTCTTTTGGCAATGACCTCCTAGGACCCAGGGCAGAGCCATATTCTCTTGTTTTAGGGTTTAGGTTCCCTTGTTAGCCCCTGTAGGCCAACACGGGCAGTTGTTTTATTCCTTTTGGGTTTAGCCTAAAGAAAAAAATCTCAGCGCAGGTCGTTGACTTCGATTCCTCCACGGATGGAGCTGTGCTGATTCGCATGGGTCCGGTGGTGACGGCGGGAGCCTTAGTTGTTCCGTGTTGTTCTGTCTGTTGTGCGACTTGGGGTTTAGAGTTTGGTGTTCGGGTTCAGGGAATTAGGTGTTTGATGCCGCCCTATTGCACCCTTTATGTAATCCCTTGTTTAAAGGACTATATAAGTGGGGTGAACATCATCAGTGGTTGTGCTTCAGGGCAAGCGTGCGGAAGCGTATGGTCTCGGGGAACCCGACCGCTTCTGCCGTAACCTCTGATGAGCCTCTTCCCACAAGCTTCCTCATTCTTTTCGGGCTGCTGCAGTTGCTGCTCGCAGCTGGCAGATGCCTGTACCTATAAGGGGCATTTGCCCTTCTGTCACAAACATTAGTGGCCGCTCTGATACCCCAGCTTAGGGCACTTTGTTAAAACCACACTTGCGCTTGACCTACAAGCTACTTTCTAAGTTGAACGCCCTTTAAGCCCCACTTGTCATGAAACCTCCCAAGAGTTTCGTGGCAAGAGCCCTCGACTCTCCCAAGACCTCCATGCTAAGGTGGCGCCCCTTCCAGGACTTCCCATCACCGTCACTCCGATGATGCCTCCTGGGCCAGATTTCCAGATATTGGGGGTTTGCGATTGTAGGGGGACCCCCCCAATATAGATCCCCAAATAGTAGGAGGATTCCTGTACAATAAGAACCGCAAGAAGGCACCCCTATCTTCCACACACAGAGCGTTCTTTGGGCTGGACAAGGTTGCGAAAAGGCCGGGACCGTCGGAGGTCCCTTTTTTGGCTTTTGGATGTTCTTGGGGCTGCCCATGACTGCCTTAAAACCCTGTAATCCCCTGGCCGAACTTCTGGTGCATTTCTCCGAAGCAGCTGGCAGAAAGTACGTCAACACTTGACCCAGTTTACGAAATCCATTTTTTGCTGAAGGGAACTGAGCCTCTAGGCACAGCTCAGGCCTAGAGGTGCCAGCACATCTCCGTGACCAGAGCGGGGCCACACCCTAAAACTCCTACGCTGAACCCAATTAAACTGAGGCCGAACCCCCTTGCACTAAACACTAAACCGTGACCAATCATTCCCTAGATCCCAGCCTGGAAGCTAAATATTTAGTGAAAGCAAAAATGCACACCACAGCGAAGGAATGCCGAGCTAAAGGGCGGAGGAGAGGTGAAACTCTTTGGCGAGCTCTTTCTGAATGATACCGGCCTCGACGTCTCGTAGCTTGGGGAGAGAGTTTCAGAATTGAGTTGTGTTTTTTGAGCCGAGCCTAAGTAGACATGTTGCGTGTTAGGCAAAATGTTGCGCGAGGTTGTTTTTTTCAAGGGAGTCATACTCGGACCCCCAAGCTCGTACCCCCCTAAAGGTTTCCTTCAATATGCTCCGAATATGGCCCATACATTCCCTTAACGGATCTTAAAAAGGTTCCCCAAACCCAAGGTTACGACCTTAGCGGTCCAAGGATAGAGCCCCATGATTTGTTTTAACTCATTTGTCGATGCCACGAAGCGGAGGTTCAAAAAGCCAGAGCGCCTCGGCGACGACTTCTGGTAGCCCTCTCGGGCTTGGAAGAGACCTCCCGGACCTAGCCAGGAAAAACGTCTGCACGAAACTTCCTGAGCCCTAAGCCCTCAACACGAATACCTCCAGAAGCTGTATGTTGTCTACTTGGAACCTGTGGTTTCGAGGGCGTAGAACTCCCTCATGAAGCTAACAAATGAGATGTACAATTTACTTGCCAACTCATCTGCCCCAAAGTTCAAAAGGCCGCAGAAGACCCAAAAGGCCCAAAAGGGGCCCCCAAGAAAGGTCTGCCAAAAGGCTCAAAAAGGCCAACAAGTCCCAGGTCTTGCTTAGCTGCCAGCTTGAACGCCTACGCGGACGTGGAAATCACCGGCGGGTCCTTTCCGGAGGACGGCGGGGCTTTTGCAGAGCCCACAGATGGAATGTGCTTGGGGCGGCTTGACCTGTGCAAAAAACCTACGGATTCATGATCCCCTCCGACCTTGGAATCCACGTTTTGAGATTCTGTCTGCGCAGCGCCGGCTCCGGAACCAGTTTTCCTTTAGCCCGCGCAGGTTTGTGGCTGTAAAGGATAGAAAGAATACACTCCTAGAGCCACTGATGACACGAATTGCTGACTTGTTTGCAGGCAGACAGACAACTGCCCAGGAGTGCATGACAAAAAAAAATATTTATATATATATATATATCTATATATGGCTGAGATTCTGATCATGATTCGTTTCCTGATGGATCTGTTCGCGGGCAGCAAAAAACGGCCAAGCTGTTGTCTTAAGAGCCCCATTCCCAGCCCCTCCCCCCCCCGGCAAGGTGGACTCCCGACCCCAAACCCTGAACTCAAAACTGCTAAACACTAGACCAGGCCCAATAATCTTGAAGGTCTCAGCTGTTGCTTCGCAGAAGCGCTGGTCACTCGATGAATTCTCTTGAACACTACCTTCAACTCGCAGTAGCTCCGCGAGGGCAGCGTCGGAAGAACCGCGCAGTAGCTTTCTTCGAAGTCGGGGATGTCCGGTGCTCAGAAGGCTCGACCCACACCCCCACCCCCCCCCGCCTTTATGATCCTTAATCCCACTACCCAACCCAAACCCTTCTCCTCCGATCCAGCAGGACCAATGTGAGATTCTGCAGCATCCCGGGAAGGTGACCGAAACTGGCCCGCAGGAACTACGGTCTTGTGGTCGCCAAGGGCTGAGCCCCAAGCCTTAAAGCAACCCCTAAGTCACCTCGTGCAAAGAGCTAAGGACATGTTCGAAGAGTCGATCGATGCTTTCCAGATTCCCAACCTTCCAGGACCCCGTTTGAGATAGGTAGCTGGCTCACGTATAGCCAGATAGAAGCATGGTCAAGTGAAAAGTTACAAAAAAAAGCCCCAAACCCAAAATCCAGACCCAAAGCCGCAGGAGCCCGAACGCAAAGAGCTTTCGAAAGGGTTTAGGGTTCAGGGGAAAAAGGGAATGTTTGCACCTTTTTTGATTGTTTGTTTGCGGGGGTTGACCGGTTCTTTCAGGGACACCTCTCCCAAGCCTTGTCGCGCAGATGAGGGGTTTGGGGCATGTTTTCGGCCTCCAGCTCTCCTCGCATGCATTCTCAGACTGGCTTGGCTTTGTGGTCGACAAGATCAAGTGTCTGGGCCGAGGGTTGGGGGGTTTAGGGTTGTATGATCTTGTGGGTTGAGTCTTCAGTCCCGGCAGATATCGAGCAGAGCTCGGATGCAAAAAGGGTTGTACTATGTAGGGTTAACCAGAAACCCTGAAGCGCAATCTTGACCATCAGAAGAGCTCTCTTTTTGAGCATCGGGAGGGCGGGGGGGGGGGGGAAAGGGGGGGGGTGCTCAGCTTCCAGGTCCTCCTTACAAGGCTGTACTGTAGCAAGCGGACCTGTCCCAAACAAACCCCAAGGCCCGTCCATTTAACCCCTTCGGGTCCCCCTAAACACCCCACACAAACACCACAAACACAGTGTAGAAGCCACCCCTAGTGCCAGACCTTCTGAGGGGCTGTCAAATTGTAACAACGCCAAGGCAGGCGGCCAGGACTTCGATAAAGTCCACTGGTGTCCTGGATGCCGGCGTCAACGTCCTCTGCGCGCGCACTCCCATGCGGCTTTGGCACGGCATACTCTTCTGCAAGGAGGCCCTAAAGGCATGTCAAAGCAGACTGCGATTTCATGCTGTGGTCTCCCTCAAGCAAATTTGCTGTAACTTTTCCATGCTGGGCTGACGAATTTCCCTATTTAGGGTGGTTTTCTGGTAACCGCAAACCCTGAACCCTAAGCCTGCAGAGGTGTTTGACTGGGGCGGCAATTGCACGCAGGAGTTTGGCTGCAAAAGCCTGCCCCGTGGCACAGCAATGATCCCATGATGGACTGCCCACAGCCATCGAGCAACACTGATGTAATGTGATTTAGACTGTAACGTAATTTCATGTCAGGTGATGTAAGGTAATGTAATGTGATGTGATGTAGCATGATGTAATGTAAGAAGGTACCGTACTGCAATAATGAAGGAAAGTTCATGTGACATGCTGTTGGGGCGTAGGCCCACGATTCTCTTGAACCCTGAGGGAGCGCCGCTTCCGAGATTTTCAGGGTACAGGGCTGAGGCAAAGGGAGGGTAGGATGGCTACAGCAGGCCCGAATATTTCACTGTTTCGCCACGGCCCGAACATCTTTTTGTTTCGCCACGGAGGGTGGGGGGTGGGGTGGCCTAACCCAAGGTTCAGAACATTTTCGGTGAGGGGTTCGGGAATCAAGGCGTAGGGTGGAGCGTTGAGGAACTGATTGGTGCGAGGTCTGGCATGCTGGACCCGCCCAAGATGCCCTGGCACTTCGGATTTTTGGATGCATGTTCAGACCACCTTCAAGACTTACTAAGCCTTACTATAAACCCTTCACATGACTCAAGGCCTGTCCTGGCCAAGCTGGTTGGTTTGGCCGAGCTGGCTTCGCCTTCACAGGCCGGGGTGGGACCGGGGGGTACTGCGGACTGCGTAGCTTTACTCTGATCCTACTGGCATCCAAGAGCCAGAGCTCCTTTTTTAGTCGCAGACACCCTCAAGGCACCCTCGAAAGCCTTCTGTAAAGCCCCCAGTTTGGAGCCCACGCGGTCTCCAGTTCCGTTTCCTCAACTTCCCCCCTCGGGGAGCCCCAAATTGGAGGCCAGTGCCCGCTGCGGACGCCGCGGACGCCGCGGAAGGCTTCGCCGAGGCCGAGGCCCCGGTTCTGGGAGCCCCTGCGAGACCGGTCTTCCACTACATCGACCAGCGCCCCCGGATGCAGAGAGGCCCCCACCCCCCCCCCCCCCCCCCCCCCCCCCCCCCCCCCCCCCCATTTCCTTCCCCTCTCTTATGAATGAACTCAACATATACAAGCTCTCTAGGAACCCAATGGATAGCTGCAAGAGGCACATCTGGCAAAGAGGAGCCCACAAGCCTTGTGATGCAGACATTTGCTACCAGCATTTGCCACTGGGAAAGCTGCGCCATAGGTCAGTCTCGCGCAAAATGAATACGGTTGTACAAGCAAAGTACCTTTTGGTTTTATGCCTTTAAACAATGCCGGAAGCTCGTGAGCTCCGCCCCATGCCCACGATGCTCACATGATTGAAGTCAGTAGTTACGATGTTCACCTTGTCTCCAGCAGTACGACACGTTGGTTGGTTGTATATGTTCCTGTCATTGTCCTTGCATTGGAAGCCGAGGTATATCACCGTCAGGAGACTTGCCCTCATTTTATGGGATGCTGTGCCTCCCCTACCCCTATCATGTTTTAAGAAAGCCTTTCCTTACAAACTCTAAACCCTGCATGGTAGTAAGCCCCACATAGCTCTGGGAACCCAAACAACCCTAAGCCCTCAACCCAACACAACCCTAAACCCAGAGCCCTAAACCCAAAACCTTCAAGGGCTCAAGGTTCGGCCTGCTGCATAACAGGACTTAAGGAGCCCTAAAACGATGAGCGAACGACAGCTCTCAATTCTCTTGTTTCGGTTTTCTCTCTCTCTCTCTCTCTCTCTCTCGCACTTTTTGGGTCCTTTAGCAGATCCTAGTAGCCCCCGAAATTTCGCAAGCTTTTCCTGGAAAGAACAACTGGCCGGACGTATTCTGTGGTGTGGACCTCTCCTCCGTGGTGTCCCCCCTTGTGAGAAATTTGGTTGATCTTCGGCTAAGGGTTTTGCACGTATTAGGGCAAATCACGGACCGTAAGGATCGCGCGTGTGATTTTGCAGCTGAGGGGTGCTTATCAGGCATCCTGCATCCTCAAACAAAAGGCACCAGGACCCGAAGAATGCCCCCTCCCCGTCCTACGCAAACATGGTTGTACAATCGGCCTTCCAAAGCAAATCCAACACTTCTGATATGGACAGCCATGGTCCCATGAGTGAAAGTCAACACAGGTATATCCACATAGTGCTCCCTGCAGAACTCGCTTGGGTCATGGGCGTTCATGAGGATCTCATGCCCACAATCCGCTGTTCTCATGCTCAGGAGGGAAGAGCCTACGAAGCATTCTTCATACGACTGCGTCAGAGGCGCATGCTACTTCAGAGTGTGCCATGCCCATCAGTGCCCTTCCTTCATGCAGGAAGCTTTCTACATTATGACGCTCCCGAATGTAGGGAAGCGTTACAAGGAGATTTCTCGTCAAACGGGCATGCCTTCTCTACGTCTGCAGGCAATTTAATCTTCGTGGGAGCTCCCGTGGCGTGAACACGGCCCTGAGGGGTCCTCATGTACTTACATGTTTAGGGGTTTTGTTTTCTTACCTAACTTCCTACACACTCATTGTTTTTTCCTGCAGTAGTTGGTCCAGAAGCATGTCTTTTGGCAAAGGTCCGGTTCCGCAGCTAAGCAGCTAAACGTTGAATGCTGCATGCTGGAATCGGGAGTCATCTGGGTTTTGCCCGAGAAACTCAAGTAAGCTACTATATTATACCCAATGTTGTGCTAACCCGGTCATGCCTTTGCAAGGCCGCACCGATTGGCAGCGCCAGTGGTCCCCTGCACATCAACGTTGCTAGGCTGAGTTGTGGACACAGCGAGGTTGGCGGGGTTGAGGATGGGGTAACACTAATTGAGAACGACCACAGTTAACGGTGCAAGGTTTAGGGTTTTGGGGGTGAGGGTTGAGGGCTGGATATCAGATCAACCTAAGCAACCATACATGGCTGTTGTTGAGCCATACGGAAGGTGCTGTAGTCTGGCATGAGCCACGCTTCTGCAGTATTTGCTATGACGCAGAACTGCATGCACTGTCAGCTATCGGAATGCTTCTCCGGCACTCGGCACCATATTGCCATCGTTTGCCATCGTTTGGTGGAGTAGCGCATAGGGCTTGCAGCTGCGACAAAGGCTTCTGCTGCTACAAGTTCAATCAAGCATGCGCTCAAGCCTCTTGGACGCTTTGGATGCTAAGCCGCGGAGCCGCGAAGCCGCGAAGCCCATGGGCCCAGTCCGACCTTGCTGTGGCTCCGGGTGTGCAGGTGCGGGGGGCTCTTTTGTGGAAACTTATTGTTGTTGGAGCTGCTCTTCTTGCAGTGTCTCGCAGCAGTGTGGTATAGTTGACCAGAGCACCTGTTTTTTTAAAACGGCCACAAGTAGGGTAGAGTTTACGACTCACCCCCCGGAGATAAGTCCCCAAAAATGGAGGTCACAGATCAACCCCCCCCCCTTCGATGGGTAACGAGGTCACGTTCAGGGCGTGCATTCAGGGGGTTCTCAGAGCCGTTATGGCGGTGCGGTGACCTGTTGCTGCTTGTTACTCAGGTCCTGTACAAGATTCTTGGCTGGTGAGTTGGGCGGCAATTCGGTTGTTGCAGCATCTGTCCGATTCATGACTCAGCGAATCGCATTCCACGTCTTTATCTAGGTGATGCTGTTCTAGATGCAACTGCATCGGTTGACTTGATCTGTGTATCAACCCAACCGGAAACTTGGTACTTTTTTGAGTGGGTGCTTGTTTTTTTTGCCCAGCCAAGGAACCAGCACCCGACGGTCACGCACTTCCTTCGGGACCGCGGGGTTCCCTCAAACTTCCTGGTTCTGAAAGCCCAGCAGTAGAGCAAGGCAAGGGTCGTAGTAGCCATGAGTGAGGCAAGCCCAAGTACGTTGTTCAAAACATGCGAAGGGTTGCATGGAGGCCAGTCTTTGCCCTTAGAAGTCAAGTCACACTCTACGCAGAGATTCAAAAGGACGCATAGTCAATGCTAGGGATCCCTGCAGCTCCCGACAGTATCCAAAGCTACTAAAACCCTCAACCGTTGGACCACGAGCGTTGTGAACGGTAACGGAGGGGGCGGCAGGGGGGTGGTGACCCTTCGAAGCCTCAAAAGACACCCCACACGAAAACGAGGACCAAGGCCACGACATCCGAGGGTCGCACGTGGCCCACCACCTCGTGAATGAAATGGTGCCATTTCCAACACCTCAAAGCTTTTTGTTTAGGATGTTGAGTGGGATGTTGAGGGTTGAGTGTCGAGTGTTTTGTGAGGTTGCGGGAAGAGGAGTATGTTTTGCATCTTCGTTGCGGAATTGACTAAGGTGCCTGTGCCCACACGCGGGTTGCTCAAGCGCTACTACAATTGCGATGATCTGGGCAGGAAATGGTCGCAGACGAAGAAGAGCTGGTGCTGCACAACTGAACACCGGGGATGTCCGGGATGGTACGCCGGGGTCTCACAATGAGGTCCATGGTGACATTGCGCGGCGTTTGTACAGCGGCCACCCCGCGCAGACGCGCCAAGAGGGAGACTGATCACTGTATAGCCCCCCACAGCGTCTTGAAACAAGAAACAACCGTTTTAAACTTCCGGGGAATCCCGTTTTTGCCGTTTTAAGCATGCGACCCAACGCTTGAAGGGTTGCATGTGTCGAAGCAGCTGTTGCCTCTTGGAGCTCCTTGTTGGACTCTGGTGGACGGCAGGTCCGTAATTCGATTTGCATTCGGGTGATGTTTGGCCTGCGCAAGCAATGTCGGTTTTCGCAAAGCGATGTGCTCGCTGTTCTTTCAGCTGGGTGCAAGCCAGCAGTGTACCCGAATGCGACAGGTAGGGTTTGTGAAGTGCACCCTTGCCTTGCCAGGGTCGAGCAATTGAGCCTGGATACAGCAGAATCTGAAGGATGCTTCACGTGATGTGATTCCTTCTATACTATAGTGGCTGCTTCTCGACAAGCGACCAAGTATTTTCAACCACTTGCATCGCAGAACTGTGTGCATCATGCCCTCATATGGGCAGTGCAACTGCAGCGACACAGCAGGCGAACCCATGAAGGTTGCATGAAATCAATTCAGCCTCGCACGATGAGCTATTTCGTCCACCCGACAACAGATGCTTCTCAACTTCTGTCTTGCTTTGCAGTGGGTTGAGTTAGATGTGGGTTGCTCCATGTTGCGTCGCAGACCTGTTGGTGCTGGTCAGGGATTCATTTCGAAAGGAGGTCCGGATGTAGGTGATGAGTGCAATCAGAAACACACTTCAATATGCAAACATACGCGAATGTGAGGTGTTCTGTTATGTTAAAGTGGCCAGCGGATCCCGAGAACATTGCTAGGGGATCCGTCGGCCGGATCGGGTCCCAGCAGTGCCCCGAAAAACTGGTTTCGGGGGGTTTACGATAATAAGAGGCCCCGAAAGACCCCCAAATAATAGGATCAGCTTATTTTCTAAGGACCCAAAATGATAAGCACCCGGGGCCCGTACTATGCAAGGTTGATATATGGTTGATGTTGATATCGTATAGCCCATAGTACGGCTGACGTTCCGTGCCTCGTCGCCTCAAGAGTTGCGAAACGCAACCACAGCACAGTACTGAATTAACTGGATCAGCACATATGGATCACTTGGTAAAGGAGATAAGCGTGGCGCCAAACCTGCAATGGTGTGCTGCTCCTCTGCTCCATCGTCAACTCCCCTGGAGCAGTATGCCAGATCAGCCTCAGCAAATTTTGCTGGCACCGAGGTGCAGGGCTTGGAATTTTCAGAGTCACCCCCCCTCCATTCACCTCCATTTGAGAAGCGCTACTTCAAGCACGAATCTGGCCGATTCTGAATCGGGCCCTTGAGGCTGCTTTCATGCTCTTCCCGATGTACACCATGCATTCCGAGCGGCTCCTGCAGATGACTGTGATCGAACCGCACGAAGTGCTCAAGGCTCGCCCAGGGGATTTCGACTTGCGAACTGCAGGAGCAAATCGTTGAAGCCTCTATCAGCGGCCTGAGCCTCCAAGCTTCTAAGCGCCTACAGTCCACCTGCAACAAAAAAACAAGTGCCCAAAAGAGGCCAAGGCCCAGGCTTAGAGTGATTAGAGGCTAGCTTGTGCAGGCATCAGCGAATTTCAGCTCAGTAACGCATCTTACAGGCTCAGAAGCTTCGTCAGCTCTCAGCCGGGCCCCCCTCATTTTTCAGTGCTGTACCACTGGTATGCAGCTTCAGCCTGCTGAAGCCCTCAATGATCCTGAGCCGGCTTGATGACATCACGTGACATCACGAGGGGAAAACTCCTGTGGAGAGAAGAAGAAGGCGTTTCTTTGTTTGTTTGTTTGTCTGTCTGTTTGTTTGAGCGTGTGAGATTGCAGCCTCCCAGCCTTCGGTCTGGTGTTCGGAGGCCAGGGGAAGCATCGTGGTCTTCAACGCCAGCATGGGCAAGGCAGCTTTCATCTCGCACCAGTGGGCTTCCAAGGACCACCCAGACCCAGAATTCAAGCAGTTGCGGGTCTTGCAGAGTGCGTTGAGGCACATGCTGGGCGGTCTGGGCTTCATTCCGCTGGATCCAGCCACAGAAGCTGCCGTGCCCGCTGCCAAGCGCCTGTCGTTGCAGGAGTTCAAGTCTCAGCCCGTTTTCCTGTGGTACGATTACTTTTCATGCCCACAGCTGGAGCGGGACGCCAGTGATGCCAGTGCCAGCGACCTGGCCCAAGCCATCCGCAGCATCCCGGCCTACATTGCCCAGTGCTCCTTCTTTCTTGGGCTTTGCCCTGTCGTGGACACCAGTGACGGGAAGGTTCTGACTCCTGCCAGCTGGACTCAGCGCGCATGGTGTCGCTTTGAAAGAACGGTACGGGAGCTTTCCTCGGACGGCACATGGGTCCTCATCAAGAGTGAGACATCCCTGGAAGTGGTGGGATCAACATTGGCTTGTGTTGGCGGATCGACAGGCGAAGGCCAGTTCAGTCAGCAGGAGGACCGGGAGAGGCTCGGCCCCGTTCTGAGACAAGCAGTGGTTCGGAAGTTGGCTCTGTGCCTCAAAGTTGGGGATTTTCCCGCGTATCGCCGGCTCCTGAACATGCAGGGTGTTTACTTCAGGGGCCTGCACGTTGAACCGGTGTGCGGCCTGATGCCTGGTCGTGAGGGTCGTGAGGGTTGTGAGACCATTGGCAGCCCTGGCGGCCCTGACCTCGTGGAGGAGTTCTGCTTCCAGAACGGATTCGCGAAGGCCAGCGACATGGACAGTGCCGGTTGGTCAGTCTTGCACTACGCCGCACTTGGTGGAAACACAAGGCTGATCAGCTGCTTGTTGAAGCAACGTGCCGATCCCAACCGGCGCACGACCAGAGACCAACCGAATCTGGGATGCCCCCGATGGACATCGGCCCTCGACCTTGCCGTGCTCTTCAAGCAGAACGATGCAGCTAGGCTGTTGATTGCAGCGCGTGCCAAGCTTCAGGGTGGCGTGCTTCAAGCGACAAACTACGCAGCCATTTCGGACAACGCAGAAGGCATCCGCCTTCTTTGCGCTGCCGGAGCAGACCCACTTGCGAATGATATGTTTGGCACCCCAGCACTCTGCACTGCTGCTGGCTACGGGGCGATGGAAGCACTGGAAGAACTCTTGTTCCAGACCCACCATGAACCACTCGTGTTGTCGCGTGCTTTGTGCTTTGCTGTTGGCGGCGGCGGTGGCTCTGTGGAAATGGTGGACCGGCTCATACATCTCAGGGCGGACGTGAACTATCAGCACGTGCCCACAGAGTGCCTGTCACCCTTAGCCTTGCTCATCACTGTGAAGTCGTTACAGCACAGGTTTGGTCGAGTCACGGCTCTGTCGACCTTCTTCTACCACTGGGCCAAGATGACGCCGCTGATCGCTGCCTTGCTGGGAGCCCAGCACGAGGCTGCCGCGGCCTTGATCGCTGCCGGGGCCGATCCCCTCCTCAGAAACCGTCGTGGTCGACATGCCTTGGACTTCGCACAGGGCCAGTCGATTCCCAGCTTCTTGCAGAAGGGCTTGGCGGGAGACCTCTCGGAATGCCAAAGGTTGGTTTCACTGGTGCTGGCGGAGGCTTACATTGAGATCTAGTGCACCATCGCCCAACTCCATGCGCGTGCTCAAAAGGCATCGAGAAAAGGACGTGGTGCTTCCCACATCCTTGCGCCTTCAAGACAGAATGCCAGCGTGCATGTAGAACAGGCGAGGGCTTGCAGACTATGCCGATAAACACGATGCAGATTTGAGCGCACATCTCCACCGAGAAGCCCTTGAACGCTCGCAGGTCTTGTGCGAGTCATGCTTCAGCCCAGCTGGGCAACGTCCAATCAAAGCATGTGCGCATGCAGGGATTCTCGAACCTCCCGGCTCCAACGTACAACCAAGGGTTTGCCAAATAACTTGAAGCCAGTTGAAGCGCACGAAGCGCCATCGACCGAGTGAGGCCAATCAAGCATCGGAGATGTTACCGCATTGTACTAGATTGACAGATGAAGGCTTGCAAGATCTGCCACATAAGGAGCGTTTTTTTTCTTGACAGTTTTGTCAGCGACGAGCGGGTCCCCAGAATCTGACACAAACCCGAAGCTCAGCTTGCGCGGTCAGCTGCTTCGGCTGGAGCAGTATATGCATTTCTTTGCAAGAAGAAGCCCAGACACGCATTGATCACGTCAACATCCCACCATCATTACCCGCCGACCTCCATGGTACAGATGCCCTATAAACCTGAGACTGTGAGCCCATTTCCTTAGAGCTTGTAAACAATGCGTCCTAAGCCCGAGCTGATCCGGTTTGAGGTGCAATCGCACTGTCAGGGCTTTGTGGGGTTTTACCACGGGCTTGATGGGGTTACACAACAAACTTTCATTGAGTTTATGCTGCTTTTCAATGTGGAACTGGCTGAAGCCATCTCCGTTGTGATGTGAGAGAGACATGAGCGAAGTGCCAGACGTCCATATCAGTTCATGGCGTTCTTGTGCCCGTTGCAGCCATCTCAGGCTTTCCCCCTTTGAGAAGGTTAGGGGCCCTTGGCGCCTGTTTCACAGTGCGCGACGGGTCTGAACCCAGGGATGCGGCTAAACAGCCATGGGAATGGCTCCTTGGCCGTTAATCCAAACCTGGCCTAAAGTTTGCCAGGAGTCGGAGTTTTTTGTGGGGGATCTCCACCAGATTAGAAAACAAATGCCAGGGTGTGCTGTCGGTAAGGTAGCAGCATGTTCTTTCTGCTACGGATCTTCTATGTATCGAGGTGCATCCTTGTGTAGCGGCACTACTTCTAAGGGAGTCGGTGGATGTTGCAGAACCTACCTGGTAGAAGTTTCCCTCTAAGTGTATGCTGTCTCATCTTGTCACGCGATGGTCTCTTGATTATGTCATCAGGATGTGGAGAGCGGCTGCTCCTTCTCAGGCCCCGGCCTACAGCACAAGGGCCAGTCTCCCTGGAAGGGGGGTGGCCTCAAATAAAGGGACACCATGTGGG